GGCAAAGAAAAGGTCCAGAGGTACAATGTAGGTAGCTTTATGTGAAAAAAACTTTGGGGCGCAATATGTTAAAAGGGTTTTATCTACTTTGTGTCACGGTAGCACTGTGAAGTGAGAAGTAAAAAGTTTTTCGCAGATAATCTTGCTTAGGAGAACTGCATTATTTACATACAACTTATTGCAATCACGTTGTCATAGAAAAAAGCAAAAAGCCAAATAGGAATTAATTTGGGAAATTTAAAGTTCCATTGTTCTTAAATACTGTACATGAATGAAAAATACATTTTTCATTCATGTTATTCATGTACATTATATTTTTCATTCATGCACAGTATCTGAAAACAATGGAAATTTAAATTTGGCTAATTAATTCCTATTTGGCTTTGTGCTTTTCGCTTTTTTCTATAACAGCGTTATTGCAATTAGGTGTATCTATTTACATAGGAAACTTCAAGCAAAGAGCCTGTTTTAATTAGCAGTCTTCTTGTTGAAAACCTTTTACTTGCATAATGAAATATTAAAATTAAATGTACTCCCACATTTCCCTTCAAGAGTAAATGGTTTGAAATTAACCGAAAAATACAATTACTGCAGAACTCTCCGGTTCATGGTTCGTTTCTATTTATATTTATAGCAAAAATAATATAATAATTTCGAAAATATACTTGAGAATGTTCTTTTTTTTCCCGTCTATAAAGTGTGACAGCCTAGAAATCAAGCGACAAAATTATAGATAGTCATCTCAATTGGTTTGCTGTTTTCACTGGTTGCCCAGCAAGTGACCAAGTTAGAGTTTCAAGTTTCATTTTTCTACAAACAGCAGACAAAAAATATAACCTGTTTGCACCAAATAAAGTATAATATCATGCTCAGGTTTATCATTCTCCTGAAAACCTTTATTCTGTGCTATTAATTCGCTTTTAAACTACTGGAAAGAAGGAAACTCACACATGATGTAAGTCAATGCAGAACCCTGTTCACGTGGTTTGCTAACCATGCATTTTCCACCATTCACTGTACTTAGAAAAAAAAAACAGAGAATTAAAAAATTCTTGCGAGCATCTGTGCAAGTCTAGAATTTCAAAGTTTTCTGCCCCATACCTTTGCAAGGCCCTTTGGGCCTTACACTTTTTCTGCCCGGCTGTCAAAGTCTAATGCCCACCTGCTAAAAATCTTANGTTAGAGTTTCAAGTTTCATTTTTCTACAAACAGCAGACAAAAAATATAACCTGTTTGCACCAAATAAAGAATAATATGCTCAGGTTTATCATTCTCCTGAAAACCTTTATTCTGTGCTATTAATTCACTTTTAAAATGCTGGAAAGAAGGAAACTCACACATGATGTAAGTCCATGCAGAACCCCGTTCAAGTGGTTTGCTAACCATGCATTTTCCACCATTCACTGTATTTAGAAAAAAAAACAGCAAATTAAAAAATTCTTGCAAGCATCTGTGCAAGTCTAGAATGTCAAAATTTTCTGCCCCATACCTTTGCAAGGCCCTTTGGGCCTTACACTTTTTCTGCCC